TATGTAATAATGATGATTGATGTTTTGAATGTTCAATAAAAATATAATGATATAATGACCTGTCCTTTTTAGAATGATTTTCAATAACCGAAAGTCATTATAAAATATTACAGTGTACTTTACACCTGCTGCTTCAAGAATCTTAAAATTTCTTGAATGACCGCCTTTCTAAATCAAAAAACTATTTTATGGCTCATCCAAAATTTTCTTCCAACTTTAAATACTTTCTAAAGTGTTCAACTTTCATATCAATTATTATCAAAATACAAGTCAAATTTCCAGTACTTTCATAAGTATAAAAAAATTTTGAAACTTTAAACTTACGCAAGGACCAGTTACGTTGAACTGATATCCAAAAAGAAAAATTAGTATTTCTTATTTTTTCCGTAACTTGAAAAATATTTTATTGATAATTCAAAAATCGGATTTTCGTTACAATATCGGTGTAACTATACAATTTGTTAGACGCGAATTTCAGTTTGTCAGGTGGGTCAAATGGAAAGGACGAAAGTGAGTGAGTTTAATGAATTGTTAATATTAATTATCAAAATAAATACACTAATAGAAGGATTTAGTTCTATTTAATATAATTTAGTAATAGTTACCAAATGATTTAGTAACAAATCTTTCATTACCAAATATTTTGTAATAGTTACTAAATCATTTATTAACGCCTATTTATTTTCACCAAATAAATATTTAGTCGTATTTAACAAATTATTCATTGCTACTCAATAAGTCGTTTATTGGTATCAAAAAAATTAAAATAAATAATTAAAAGTAAAAATATAAGGTATTATAAAGGAAAGAATCTCATTAAATTATAATTTTTTATTTTTGAGACATTTATAAAATTAAAAATTGGAAGTGAGAATTTGTCCGATGAGGCACGGGGTACGGGTCTATGCATACCCTACACCCGTGCAGTTATTTCACACGCTCGGGACACGGGTACGAGCACGGATACAGTGTATGATAGACCCGTGCCCCGTGCCTCACTGGACGAATTCAACCACTCTTTTTAAAAATTAAACAAGTTTTTAACATATCAATGATACACGGAAAATAAAGGTGATGCAAAATTTGTATCACTGTAGACGCTAATTTTGTATCTAATGTATTATAACCTTTACTTAACTATATTATGATACACCACTTTCTATACTAGTGAACCGAATAGAGCATCTCCTGACGTAAAATTTATATCACTTTTTTTTTCCGTGTAGACAAATTTAAACTAAACTCTACTGAGAAATTACATATAAGCCATTTGGGAGTATGTGTGTTTTTAAAGGTTTAATAAATCTCCTAAAATCGAGCTGAATAAAATAATCTGAGTCAGTGAATAGGTCATGTATCACATCGAAATTAAAGCATAGCCATCTACCGACAATACTTACCAAAGAAATATTTAGTACCTACTACTAAATATTATTTGGTGGAAACAAATAATTATTTCCCTGCAATCAGGCTTTGTTTATACTAATACACGCAAAAAAAAAAATTGGGGCTGCCACATGATTTTTTCATGTGGCTGCCACATGATTTTCATGTGACTGCCACATGATTTTCCTGTGGCAGCCACATGATTTTTTCCATATAGCTGCCACATGATTTTCCTGTGACAGCAGCATGACTTTCATGAGGCAAGCAATAATATTTAAAACAGCAATAATAATTATCATAATAATAATAATAATAATCTATATTATTAAGAAAATAAGAAAAATTTTGTGGCCAGTGCATTTATATGATAAAATGGGTTTTTATGGTTGAGTTTGGTATCATTAGAAAGGTCTTGACCTAGGAAGGAGTTGTGCCTTTTCAAGGTTTCATATCATTCTCACCAATAGTCAATAGTGTTTATTATGATAGGAATTAAGGCTGCATTCGAAAATGCTCTATCTCTAGATACATAATCAAAAAATCACCTCGTATCCGGTGAACTATTGCCATTTTTAAAGATACAAGCTCACTCAGATATTCCACTTATCGAGACCTTTCCTTTGAACTTTTCATATATTTATATATATTATATAAATGTATATGTGAAAAATATATCAAAAATGCATGTGGGTACTCAAATGAAAGCTCTTGATAAGTGTAACATCAGTATGAGCTTATATCTTTAAAATATATATTATATATATGTATATATGAAAAATATATCAAAAATGCATATGGGTACTC